TACACAATAATTGACTTGTGTAGAGGCATACCCAATTCTCACCAGCATCTTCACACCGGAGATGGAATAGCTGTTCTTGACAAGAACCGACAGCCCGATACCCGAAAACCAATGCGTGCGTTCGAGTTCATGCCCGAATGACGCGAACTCCGTCCCTTCTCCGAGAAGGCCTAGTGTTATTCTTGCTCGTGATAATCCCGCAACGATTCAAATTTGCATTCTCAAATGTTCATTCTGAGGGTGTGTCAAAGTTGAATATTCATTGACGACCTTGTGCGCTCACTTGTCAAACTTGCACGGAAAAAGGTGTAGATGTGAAATACCCAATAGCCTACCTGCAGAGCAAACATCCAAGCTCCTCTGGATTGGATATCTCTCGTCGAGACTGAGTTCTCCAGGTCAGAATAATAGGCAAGAACGTAGGAGGCCACATTGCCAATCGAGAACAACACTCCGAGACACACATGTGTCAGAACCTTGACAAGAAAACGATCCAATCTTCTCTCTACTGCAGCAACCAAGCTGACTATCATCGTGAAACAAACGGGTTGGGTACTATCACCTAATACTAGAAGATGACGATAATATTGGAAGATGTGGGTGCATCATTGTCGCTGACCCAATCCTCGTAGCACAAAATGTCTCTTTCTCGAGTGAAGGAAGGCTCTAGCTAGGCTCATCGGTGAAGTAAAATCAGTCTGCTGCCTTGTGAGGCATTCCCCTGCTATTATATCCAGTGTGGTGTCATCTCAACGGGCAAACCACAACCACATGTCTTACCGTGGATAGCACAGCGCGAGGCAATCGAGCGCCCATGAAGTGATCAAGCAGTGCTTTCTTCGACACGGACCCACCACCACATAATGACGATAGCAACAGCAACGTCGCCAGCAATATTGCAATGATCGTAGTGGCCACCAGCGAAGCACCGCCTACCGTACCGCTCATTCAACACAGAGAACTCCACTGAAAATAATAAGACCAAGATGGTATACACAGACAAGGCAAGTGCTATCCTATCTGTACTGCTTCAGTCGACTGCAAAACGATGCAAACAGACTCAGTGTGGGAATATATGTTCAAGTTCCTCAACTGAGCTCGTAAGTTTCCTTACTACGTTATGGAAAGGCACACGACTTCGAGTAGAAGTGTACAAGAACCAACGACAATTTCGCTAAAATTCCTCAGAATTTCCTTATTTTTACCAACGCATGTAGTTGACCGTGTGCATATATTCTACCGGGAAATGAACCGATTGAGAACCTCGAGAAAAACTCGACTATAAGCGCACCATCAGAAACGTTTCCGTCCCTTCCGGGGCAGCCCAGTACGGTCGAATGATTTCATGCGTTTCTGACACTTCTGTGCATTCGCATCCTCCAACCACGATTCGTCCGCGAACCTGTTGAGCAAACGCACTAGCCTCAAATATTTCGGACTACAAGCGCACAAGTTTGACCAGTGAATGCACAAGAACGACAGCAAATATTCATGTTTGACACTCTCAGAATGAACATTCGAAAATGACACTAACACGGCCATTTGGGAAAGAAATTACCCCCATAGCGGCGGCAAGACATGGGTTTGCTCATGTACATAGGCGAGCCCGCACGCCCTGAGATCACTCAAGTCTTACCGCACGATTTTCCATCTTCCTTCCTCAACACCCTGTTGCATCCAATCTTGTAGCGATTCCTCATCGGACACATACAACGTTCTCGCTTCTCCGTGTTGTCTCGTCCGATTCAACGAAGGTTTCTAAAAGCTACCACAACTGCACTTCGATCCCAATATGAAACTCACCAGCACCGCGCCTGTCACCGGTCCATCTCCACGATCGGCTAATGAACTATCACGCCCTCCTCTCCATGAGCAGCCTCCACGTGGCCACCAAGAGTTATCACCCCATTTCTGCTCATACGACCACCACTCGTTAGACCACTCGTTAGACCATGACCGCTGCCTCTTCCGTCCTCCTCGATCATTCCAATGCGAATTATGATAATCCTGATAATCGAGCGTGAGACATACTCCGTGAACTGCCTCTGTGAGCTCATAGCGGTCGATAAACTCACCTGCCAGTCCCCTTGCGACTGTGATGAAGATGTCGACCCTCCACGCTGTATCAATGGTTCGCCGTCTCGAGCATCCCACTTATGAAGGGCCTGCTTCCAGAGCCTCAGGCGACTGAGGAATACGACAAGTCACCACCCATTGTGGGGGACTGTTGCCAGTGCCGGAATATTCCCTCAGCTGAGGCTGGGAAGTCTCTCACTAACAATAGAATTGGGTAGAAGTGTACATGGACTAAAATTCCTATAAATTTTCACTGTGTCACCAACGCATGTAGTTGACCACATGCACGTTTGCCCACACTGATTATCGCCCAGAAAGGTATAACTCAGTAGGTTACCCCTCGAATGCTCTTTTAGAGTCCGTGCCGTCCACTCGAGGGGTCGACGGGTGCAACGGGTCTTTGAGATTGCGATCCGATCTGAATCGTACCGAAACTCGCGATGAACACACCGAGCAGGAAATCTCACTTCCGCACATGCTTAGAGTAATTCTGGTAACCTCGACTCGTCTTGGCCAGGTCTATCTGCTTCTGGCGCTGCGCCAGGATCCTTTCCATGGACGCTCTGTGTGACATTGGAAATGAATCCTCGAACAAGTACCAGACATGCCTTATCATACCACCTGAAATCTCCCGTTCGCTGAGCTGAACGAAAGCCGCTGAACTTTATTGGAAAAGGATGGAACTCAATTAGATGGAGGTGACAACCTGTCTAGGAGCCACGTCATGCAGGGCACTTTGGTAGTGAGCAGTTTGGCCCCAATGTCACGAAAACATCGATTTCTTGAAGCGAACAATAAATATCAAGCGCTGGAGCATCGTCAGGAGAGTATCACGTAGTCCTCGAGCAAATTCCCGCTATATGGCCTTGGCTCAGTGTCGACCAATAAGGGCGTCTTGAGAAGGTGGGAGACCTGTCATAAAGGGCGATAGATAATACAGCTTGCAGACTCCCATTGGTTCAAAATGGAATGGTTCTGCTGACCGAGCACTCCCAGCAGCTAGGGAGGGTCTTACATCCACTATGCTTGCATTGTTCGGAGGCCATTCAGACTGTGGTATCCCAAGCACTGTCGCAATGATGGCAAATACATGAACCTGAGACGCATACCGCAAGACGGAAGTCCCGTAAAGCTCCTCTACATTATCGAATGGCTGCTGAACGAAAGGAATAGATTGGATCTGCGGCCCGGCAGCGATAAAAACTGGCCACATATCGCTCAACCTAGGAAGGCTAACTGCAAGGCTCTGGTTTGTGTCAAACAAGCTACCTGTTGTCATACCCATGGTCACCCAATCCGTCGAAATGATCGCCCAAGTATGTGGTCCAACCCTCATCACAGACGCAAACCTGCCATGAGAACGAGTTGAACTGTTCCCGCGACTGTTGGAACGCTCACTGAGAACTTCTCAGTGAGAAGCCTACCACTGGAGGTATCCTATCATTCATTTGGTAATGCCAGCGATAAGGGATGTTCTCTCGGAGGTAGCATACCATATGCCCAGCAGCAGACTTCTCCAAAGACGCTCGGATTGACTCAGCTTCGTGTGCATCGTGTGGCCAGATGTGGGTCACAGGCCCCGTGGTTGTAATATTCACTCTGAAAGGAATTGGAATCCAATTATTGCATTTGGGGAAGCACTCCAAGTGCTACCTTCGATCAATGAAAGATGCTCAAAGATTACAATAAGAAGCTCATCAGCATCACACATTGATTGCTCTATGATAGATATTATCAGACCGAAATCTCAGTCCATAGAGAGTCTCTCCAGGAGAGATACAATGGAACACAACAACGGATGCAAGCATAAGTCAGTATCCCACCAGACTAACATACCAGTCTATCGCTCATTGCATATTTCCTGTTCGTTGCGCTCATCTGACTCAGAGACTACTGCTACTGGGTACATAACGAGCGTGGGATACTCGACATGTCAAAACGCCGTCCCGGCGTACGGTACACTACGATCGATTGTTGCCCATGGGGTCTTCTCTTGGCACCACTTCTTGTAGTCCAAATTGACACGAAAAGGTTCTTCTGGAACGCTTCTTCTAAACACGCTCATCTTCCACTAGAGGACTCCAGGTCGTGGTCGACAGCAGTCACAGCCTTGCCGAGCATAGTGTTGGGAAAGTAGTCGAAAGCACTTGTATGTGCTTGATGTATTGATTGATGATTGATGTGTTGATAGATATTCACTTGATGTATGTTCTTTTCGGCGATAGAGAACGCCAAGCTATAAGCGATAGTCGTATAACCGATGAAAGCTTCTCGATTCCCAAGGTCGGCCTCTAAGATTCTCGCAAAATATCAAAAATATGAAAGTACACCCCGAACCCGAACTGTTGGCGCGACCGCGGACTGCCGATCTCCTCGGCTTCAACGTCGATAGGTGCCGGAAAAGGAGCGGACGGGATGCGACCAGTAGTAGGCTCGGGGGTAGTGGGCTTGGGGGTAATGGGTTCGTGAGTAGACTTAGGAGCAGTAGGTTTGGGAGTAGTAGGCCGGTCAGAAGTAATAGTACTAGCAGTAGGCCTGTCGGTAGGAGTAGCAGTAGGCCTGTCGGTAGGAGTAACAGTAGGCCGGTCGTGAGGGGTCCTTAAAGTATAGGAAAGTTCTGCATCTTAAGCTTCTTGAAGAAGGTGCGGTCCGCATCGCAAGCCTTCTTCGCGTCCGCACCGCCTTGGGGTTTCTCGAGTCGGACGCGCTGAATTCATCAACAAGCTTACGGACTGTGTTTGCAGCTGCAGTTTATGGATGTTGCTTCAAGCAACTTGCTCGTCGGTGAGCAACAGTTGCTTATAATTCCCAACTGTGGGGAATTAGCAATTCCTAATCACTAAGCTTTATCTGTCGCATAGGACGAGCGCATAACACGGTTTGCGGACCGGGAAAAATCCCATTCCCACACTCACATCTCCGGATCAACACCGTCTGCTAGGTTGATTCCAGGATTGGTGGCCCACGTCATGCCGTGATCACTGGTGAGGATGACATTGACCTCCCCTGAAGCTTTATACACTTAATTAGCCAATGAATTTACCAGGGGCAAACTACCCCTCTCACCTTGAATCTCGTGTAGTCTATCCCGCAGTACTCCAATGGCGCTGTCTACCCGTCGCACTGCGGCTAGTGTTTCCTCAGTTCCTGGCCCATACCGATGCCCCGAGTGATCTGGTTCATCGAAGTACCTTCAAATTTCAACTTCCCACAGTTCGGATATGACTACTGCAGATAACTCTCAAAGTTATCTACCCCAGCTACGGTTATTGGGAAGCAATTCTTCTTCATCGGAAGCTACTGCAAGTCCCAGGGTCCAAGGTGCTCCGGCGGAGACACATGAAATTCGTCAACTTTCCCCACCACTCCGAAATCTTTTAAGGGCTAGACTTAACCTATCTTACAGCAGGGCCAGCCTGACATCCTCATCCTCTACCATAATATTCACCAGCTTGTTGGTTCGTTCGTGAAATCCTAGGCTCTGGTTGTATGGGTAGTGATATCTGAATGAGTATAAGGAACCTGCGAGAACGCCAGAATTGGGAGAGTCTTGACGTACGTCGGCTGCATTCCTTGAACGACTTTATCGCAGCCCACCCAATTGATACAAACTGACTTGATACCGAGTCTGCTCGTAGTACCCCATATGGGCTCCGCTTCTTGGAAGAAACTACACAATCAACATACCG